ATAATTTTCTGTTAACGGATTTTTCTTTTTTAATTAATTTAATCGTTTGATTTAGTTGCTGTTGTTGTAACTCGTTTTTATATGGTGAATCTGTAAGAATTGCAGTTTTTCCTTTGGCCCTAGTATTTCTCTTCTTTTTTTGCTTATTCTCATAACTTTGTTGAGGAATAGGAATAACATCAATTGGTGAGACATGTGGAAATGAAGTATTTTTTTTTGTGACTGGAGTAATTGGAGATATGAGGTTTGATTGACCCCCTTCAATTTCTTCAGTGCACATTATATTGTTAGTTTGTGTTGGATTGGATATTTGAATTGGGGATACAACTGTTTTCAAATTTAAAATATTTTCTAGCTCTTTATCTTGTGATACTTCTATTGTTTTCATTGGTTCAACATTTGTAGTATCAGAAGCAACAAAATCTGAATCTTGGAATATATCAGGATTAAAAGGAAAAATACCTGTTGACTTGAATGAATTCATAGCCGTTGTCATTGTAGCAGCTTTAGCAAAAGCTAATCCAAAAATTTCTGCTACATGCTTTAGATTAACTACTTCACCAGGATGACTGCGAAGCCAGTTAGTTATCTCCTTATCGTAGTAAACACTAAGAGGTTTCATTAAACCTACATCCAGTGGTTGTAGTCTGTGTGTACAGTGTGGAGGAAAACATAAGAGAATGACTCCATTATCACGTGCTAAATTGATGAGTTCAATGTTTTTGGTATGAGTGGAGTGTCCATCTGTGAACAAAATAAATATAATATTTATTTAGGTATTACAATTAAATAGTAAAATAATTAAAAATGTAATAGGTAGGTACCTACTTTTTTAAATTAACTAACCTAGTAATAATAATACTGGAGTATCTTTTGATGAATTTGAAAAGGTAATGAAGTTTTGTAACCAACGTTCAAATATAGATTTCTGCATCCAGCCACTAGGGTGAAATTCTACATAAGAACCTGGAGGAGCATTTCTCATGAAGTCCATATTATGCCGCTGTCTGGGAAAAATAAACAATGGTGGCATATATCTTCCAACAGAATTCATGCACATTTCGACTGTCACAGTTTCACCACGTTCAGCAGATGTTATCGAACCAACTTGTTTTCGGCCTTTGGTGGCTATTATTTTAGCTTTGCTTTTGGGGACTGAAGAAATACCAGTCTCGTCACAATTGTATATCCGATCTGGAGTGAATTTATATCTGTCCATAAGCTCACCCAGGAGTTTGAAAAATTGCATTACAACAGGCTTATTAAAACCCATTGCACGTGCTGCCGATGTGGCTTCTGGTTTTCTAAGCGACAACTCTGGGTGTCTTGACATAAACCCCTTATACCAGTCATAACCAGCTTCTTCTTTTATGTGAGAGAAATTGTGTTTCTTGTTATTTTTTACAGCAAGTTGATAGGCCAACTTCCTACAATCAACTGTACTAAAACCAAAGAGACGGCCTTCCATAAGTTGTAGGTATGAAACTAGTTCCTTTTCTTCAGCAATGGTAAAAACGGTTGGTATGGGTCCTAATGAATTTTTTGATGCAGGATCATATTTAGCATCTTTACTTAATTTTTTTACCTATAAGCCAAAAATTAAATTCTTTCAGTTCTAAGACACAGTACAATACAATGTGTAAATATTAGTTTGGCTTGTTGTAATCAATTTACTGAAAAGTAATTTTTATGTACAACACTATGATAGTAGGAAAACTATATGCTTTCATATAGTTGAGTAAATGTCTGACTAATGTAATAAAAAATATTAAAATATAGGTATTTACCTTTCTTAGTAATGTACTTCTAGGTACATTAAAGGTTGCTGATGCTTCTCTGTAGGTTTGACTTTTATTTATTACAGCTAAAACAGCATTGCTCATGGAGTCAGAATCCCAGTTTTGTCTAGTTGTCACTCTTTTTCTTATTCTTGCCATGTTTCTATATAATAGGTACCTTAATAATTATTTTAACATAATAATATATAACTATTATCAATGCTTGGCAACAAATGTAGAAAGAATATTTAATGAGAAAAACTTGAGATTAAAAATACCAGTATACTGATATTTAACTATTACAAAATAGTAAATACCAAGTGAGGACAAGATGGGACGTCCCATTTTACACCTAATAAAATTTCCCATCTTGCCTCATTGTGCTTTATATTACTTAAGTACATTTAAAATCAAAAATATCAATCGCAGTGTACTACAATTGAAACCAGCAAACGCGCAATAAAATTTACAACAATACTAGTGTACCGGAATAAAAAATAATTAAATATGTACTTACCCAACAACTTCGATGTAATGACGAAAATTTACATTGTCAAACGACTTTTTTTAAAATCATCTTGTTTTCGTTATCAAACATAGTTATCATTAATGTGAAACGTTAAATTAACAGTGTTACCAACACTGAAAATAAGTGTTCCCGACAGATATTGTGTAATTATGTTAGTTATTGAGATAATACTATGTCCCGTCTTACCCGATGTCCCGTCTTACCCAGGTTTCCCCTAACTGCAGGTGTGAAGGTAGTTATAGTCATAACAACCCGTAAATAAAAAATATAGGTACACAATGCCATATATTGTGACTTCGCAGAATCATGGTTGGCGACCGTACAGATAAACGAGAAATCGTGATTCGTAGAAGAAATAATCATCTACAGTTCATTGCTGATTTACACCGTTCATATGACGCTTCCCAATATCCGCTAATGTTTTGGAAGGGACAAGACGGGTAATGAATAAATATTAAACAAGATCCTGCAACAGGTAACAAAACAAACAAGAATGTTCGTTCGAAGGATTATTATGCATATCGGTTGATGATTAGACGCGATGAGGACAACGTTACTCTACGATGTCGTGAGCTTTGTCAACAATTCATGATCGACATGTATGTAAAGATACAGAGCGAACAATTACGATACTTGCGATTCAATCAAAAAAATCTTCGTGCGGAAGAATACACTCACCTGCGAGACGCTATTGTCAACAACGCCGACGTCTCTCAAATCTGTAACTCAGTCATTCTACCATCATCATGACACGGTACTCAGCAGCAGCCAGTACAAAGTACAGGCACCGCCGCGATCGGTCTACGGGCTCCTTCACACGTAGCCACTCGGCAGCGCTTCTTAGCAGCGCTGCTGATGGATAAACATTAGTTTATTTAGATGGTTTCACATACGACCACGGCCTCTAATTTAAAGCGCCACAGACGGTGTCAGTGGCTGGCTTCGCCGCAGAACGCGGCGTCTAAAAGTCGCGCTTCTTGTAACAGAACGTATTTTTAGATTGGGGGTTTCACACGTGACTGCAATCGCGCGACTATTTTTGCAGCCCGTTGGTAGCGCGTTAGTAGCGCGATTAATCCGTGATGTTTGATCAAATGATTTCAATTATTATCATTTTAATTTCAGTATTTATTTGTCAGCCCAAGTGCTGTGTCCTGTCAATGTTATTATATCTCTTTTTATATTTTGAAACAATGACATCTGATTGTGCAAACATTAATATTGAAGATTTCATCAGTGAAATAGAAAACTGGCCCGCAATTTGGGACCTAAAGCATGACGACTACAGCAATAAAAATGCAAAACGCAATGCATGGGAAGCAGTTATAAGTAAATTTGTTCCCAATTTCAATAATATGTCTGAGGCTGAGAAAAAAGTAATTGGTAAGTAGAACATCGTTTATTATCATATTGAAACAAATTACACGTATACATAGGCGTGCGCAGAACTTAAGTACATTTGAGGCACATTTTTTCTTTTAGGTACCCGACTAATATAATAGTTATTTATAGCAATACCACAGTTATAGAAAAAAATTACATTTATTGAAAAATACTTAATTGTAATATCATAAATTCAAAAAAAAAAATAATAATGATAATAGAAATACAGAAACTAGTGAATAAAATAAAATAAATTTATATTTTTTCCATTTGCCACGATACTTGTCCCTCTTTCATAAAAAAATCAATAAGTTCTGTTCGAACGCATTTGATTGCATTTCCTGGTTGAGAATTGTCCACTGTCGTATCTTCAATCAACCCACTAATAGCGATAGTATCCTCAAATGTAATGCCATCTCTGTCCCTCACAAAATTGTGTAAAAGGCAGCACGTTTTAATTATATTTTCTGCCAAACTTTCTTCAACATTAAGTGCACGATGTAAGATTCTCCACTTATTACTAAGTATTCCAAAACTGCATTCGATGTATCTTCTGGCTCTTGTAAGGCGGTAATTAAATA